CGCCATCCAGCCCCCGCCCCGACCCCCCACAGCACGGCACGCCCGGCCCCCGGGGCTCTTGCGGAGGGTCCCGCCCTGTGCCCCTCCCCCGCGCGCCTCGAGAGACCCGGGCCCACGGCGCGGTAGCGGTCCAGGCCGGAGCCCCCTCACCGCGGCGCCGATGCCCTCTTCCCGCAGCGGATCGGGTTCCCTCCTAGCGCCCGGACCCCCAGCTCCCGCGGGTCTAGCCCAGGCTCGTCTTGTGCAAGGTGCGACTCGGGAGACGCGAAGTATAACCGGCACCTGCGTCAGACCGGGCCAGACAACGGTCGAGACCGCACCCGCCCCGCCGCAACCCGAGGCCCGCACCTACCGGACACGGTGCTGGCCATGGTGCTGGCGGCGGCCGGGCTGCGGAGGCCGAGAGGCGGGCGGGCGGCGGCTGGAGCTGCAGTCGGTGAATGCTGCAGTGTTGGGGAGGGGAGGAGGTTAGTGCAGGCGCGGCGGGAGGGGAGGGGAGGGGCGAGGGAAAGAGGGAGCGGAGGGAGGGGAGGGAGAAGAGAGGCTGCAGCTCTCAAAGGGGGAATCTAGGATGCGGCAGACGCTCCTCCCCTAGCCCGCGGCCACCACGGGCCGCTGCTCTCCCAGCGTGGCTTTGTGTGGGCTTGAGGGGATGTGGCGCTTCCTTTCCGCAGAGTGGGCGTGGCAGGGTCAAGGCTGGAGCACAGACCCCACTGCTGGGGAGGGGGTGTCACAGAGCTCTTGACAGAGGCTGCCAGAGGGTGGCCAGCCAGGGAGTGGCTGTCTCTGGACGGGTGGCGGCCAGGCAGGGCAGAAATGGGGATGGTGCAGCAGCTGGGGACAGCCACTGAGCCCAGGTCTGTGTGGAGAGAAAGGGGGTGGGCACTGGCATGGAAGGCCATCGCCTCTGTGCCCATTGGGTGGGCAGGTTGTGGGCAGAGAAGAGGGCATTGGGAGTAGTGAGGCCTAGAGCAAGGGCTTTGACATGACATCCAGCAGGTTTCCACCCCAGCTGGGTCGTTCTGTGTTTGACTGCGAGCACATTTCTGACTCCTCTGGGCCCCTGCTTCTCAAGGGTGAGATGAGACCACCAGGCCAGGCCTCAGAGGGTGGAAGAAAAATGTGCCAGAGTGGATGCACTTATTGGGGGGCACCTGCTGTACCTCCCCTAAAAAGAGAGACAGGCAGACCAATGGAGTACTTCTCCCATTCCAGGGGTGCAACTACTGAGACCCAGGGGAGAAGGGCTTGCTCTACGGACAGTTAAGGCATAGAGCCAGGAATAAGATTCTTGGAACCCTCAGAAGACTTGCAGGAAGATGAGGTCAGTTTTGAAAGGCAAAAGTCAGGGACAACCTAAGGACTGAGCTTAGCGTGGAGCAAACCCCACAGGCTAGCAGGAGCACCTCGTGGTCACACATAACCTAAGTGCCCTGAGTCCTGCCACGAGCATACGTACTGGCATCAGGCCTGGGCTCGTAGGTTAGGTGCATTATATGGCACAGGAGACCTTAAGACAGGACTATTGTCCAGTCAGCCTGACCTAATCATGGAAATCCTTTAAAAGTAGAATTTTGTCTAATTGAAGAAGTTTAGCATTTGGAAGCAAGGTTCTCTGTTACTGAAATGAGGGCGCCAATTGGGAAGGGTATAAGAGCTGCTCCCAGCTGGCCAGCCACCAAGACTTCAGTACTACAACCACAAAAGAAGTGAATCCTGTAATTCTAGCACTCTGGGAGGCTGAGGCAGGAGGATTGTAAGTTTGAGTCCAGCCTGGGCAACTTAGTGACTTAAGTCAGATCCTGTCTCAAAATAAAAACTGAAAAATGGCTGGGAATGTAGTTCAATGCAAAGGCCCCGGGTTCACTCGCCAGTACAAAAAAAAAGCAAATATTTCCAACATGAATGTGCTTGGAAGCAGATTTGCTTTCTAACCCTCCAGACAGTACTCAGCCCAGTGGACAGTCTTGTTTCACTCTTGGGACTCATACCTGAGGGTTGTTTCGAGCTGCTGAGCTTGTGGTCATGTGCTATGCAGGCATATCGACCTACTATGTGCACACACACATACACCTAGCTACTCTTGTGTGCAACAGTCAATGGAATTCAGCCCTGGGAGGGAGTTGGAAGTGGGGAGGAGCACACAGAGCTGTTCCTAACAGTGGTGTTTATCCCAGGGGAAGCAACTGTATCCTCTGAATTGGTCACCAGCAACCAGCTGTTGCTGGTTAATGTCAGTGTTCTTCAGAGGGACTCTGCTCTTGGTGCTAGAACGCGGGGCTAGGATCAAAAGGAATAGCCCGTCTAATGCCTCCAGTCCCTCCAGTCTTCTCTCGCCCTGGCAGGCTCGAGGGACTGTAGTGGCTCAGACTCACCTTGAGAAGCAACCCCCAACTTATTATTAGTACCTATTAATTTGACAAAATATTAGGTTTCAATGTGTGTAATACATTTTAATCATATCTGTCTCCCCATTGCATGTCCTCTGATGTCCTTGTCTTGGCCATGGACACCAGTTGTGTAGAAAGTCCCTGGCATATTACCAGGCACACAGTAGGTGCACACAGATAGTGCGCGTAGTAGCTATACTGAATGTTTGCCCCAAAATGGTGCCAGGGGTTGAGCAGATTTTGACTTGTTACCAAGGTCAACTGCAGGAAGTGCATAAGCAAGCATTCAAAGATGTTTATTTGTGAACTGGGAGTTTATATGTAAGACCCCCATGGAGATCTCCCAAAACCCTAACCTTTCATAGAAGGAGCCCTACATATCAAAAGCACCCTCACCAGGACGCTGAGTCATGCAACAAATGCCTGCCAAGCGCCTCCTATATGTTGGGGCTGGCAGTCAATCAGCAGTAAAAGGACAGGACAGAGGTACTGAAGAGGCTCCTAGCATCAGATATAGACTTCTTTTCATCCATCTCTGCACAGATCCTTCCCTTTACATCTTTCCCAACCGCCCAGACACCTGCAAGGCAAAGATTATTTCATTCTTGGTTGAAGCAGGGGTCTTTGACTCACCTCCACTCCTTGCTCCTGCTTCATTATCTTTTTTGAACTCCTCACATCCTGGAGGGCCTGTCAATTTCCAGTTACCTCTTTGATTCTCCCCGCACCTATATTATGACTTTTCCCACACCAATCTTTAGGGCAGTCTTCTCTGGCTTCTAGTCAAGGCAAATCCTTCCTTGTATTTCCCTTCCTTGTACTCAACAGTTTGTGACACAATGTTGGGTGACCACTCACATCTATCCTATGGTCTAGGTGGCATTTTGTCTACTGGAGCAGATGCTTAATTCAAGTTTTTTGACTTAGTTGAGATCAGTTTGCTTATGGAGTGCTTTGCTGTGGTCAATTTTGCTTTCTCCACCCCTCATATCTCAGGTTAGGTTTGGCAGAATGGCTTTTATGTTATAGTTTACAAGATACTGCAGGCTGCCTTAGAGTCCCCATCTGTGATGTGGCCAGAATCACCTTGCTGTGACCCAGGCAGCTCACCAGACAGTTCAAGGTCTCAGAATCCTCACCTTCTGTCCTGCCCCAGCAAGTTGCCAAGTCTCTGGCTCTTGCACTCTTCTTCCTTAGTCCTCTGGGTGATGAACATACCTGCTCTCAGAAGATAGTTGGTGAAGAGGTGAAGAGTGGGATTCCTGGCTCTTTTTCAGGCGTTGAGTAATCTACTAACTACTTTATAACATACAAGGTAGAGAAATGTCCTGGTCCTGCCGGACATAGACTGTAGAAGACTACAGTCCCTTGAGCCTGCCAGGGAAAGAGAAACAAGGGTAGAGAATGAAAGAATTGATCTCAGCAATCACCAGGCAGATAGATGTGTCAGTACATACATGGATGCTACTGTAACCTGCACTTGGTGGCCCATCCAAGAGTATGTGTCTTACCTCATCTTCTCTAACTCCTGACCAAGAACCAAGAGTGCCTGAAACAGACTGGAGCAGGTGCATGGTGATATGGTGTGTCAGAGCCTTCCCCAGCTTGACCTCACACACACAGGCATGGGCAGACTGCAGCACACACATGTGTTATCAGCTGGAAAACACCTGAGTATTATAGAGAGCCTAGGAAAAGCTCTGAAACAAGCATTATTTGCTGGCTGTGGACTTAATAATTTCTTCCTGGTGTTTTGTGGGAGGTGTTGGGGTGGCCTAGTACAAATATCTCTGACTGTTAAGCTAATCCCAAGGACTGTGCAACCCCTCTCTCCTAGGTCCCCCTTCTGTCAGCTTGTTCTAGGTGCCAAGGATTCAGACAGGCCCTCCCTAGACACAGATACAGAGTTATGCCTTGTGTCTAGATGTCTCCCCAAAGCCTCATGCAGTCATAAGTGGGGCTTCTTGGAGGTGGCTGGATCTGAGTGTGTGAAAGATTCATGGTGCATTGCTAGGATTAAGGGTGGGTGGTTTACTAAATCAGTCTGATTGACTTGGCACTGCTTTAATCACGGTAGCCTGTATACAATATAAGGGACAAAAAGAGGCCTGTCTTTGTGTCGGGTATTTTGTCTCGACAAGAAAAGTAACTAAGACATACACTGACTACAAAAGAGGCTGGACCGAGGGGACAATAAGGAGAGGAGGTGGTGAGGGCTCTCCGGAGTGGTTCTGGTCAAGCGGCGCCATTTGTGGATTTAATGGAAACCGATCGGCTTAGACTCGAAGAGTAAAAAAGATGCCTCTTGAGAGCCAAGGGCGGGAACTGCAGGAAAGCGAGGAGCCTGCGCAGTTGTGTGGGCAATGGCGATAGCTTGGACGAGGGAGGTGGTAAAGGAATGGAGACCCTGGCAGGAACCATGCCGAGGGGGGAGATGGGCGAGGCTCTGGGAGATGCAGGTGCTGTTTACAGAAGAGGCAGCGATGAGGCCAGGCACAGCTTGCGCAAAAGTCCGCAGGACCGTGAGGCTACCGAGAACGGCCGGGCTCAGCCGCTGAGGAACGGTTTCCGCCCGGAGGGCTGAGCCGCGGACCGGAAGTGAGGGCGGAAGTGCAGTCCGACCAGCGCCTACTACTCCCCTCCTCCCGCCAAGTTTGAACCCACTGACGGTGGAGGACGCGGGGGTTCCCAGAGTCGGTTGTGTTCTGCAAAACCTGGGTTCTGCAGAAGCCTGGGTTCTGGAAAAGCTCCCCTCGGAGACAAGTGGGCTGTGAGTCGCGGAAGTCCTACAGCTGGTTTTTTGCTGGAGCGGTTCGTGGGCGGGGGTTGCTGCTCGGAGCTCGGGATCGCTGCAGGCCTCGCTTGCGGTGGCTGCACTGCCCTAGGGGCTCCGGTCTTTCGGCGGTCTTTTGGTTTTCATCTGTCAGTCGCAGCTTCTAAATTTGACGGAAGCCTGGAGAGATTGATTGCTCCCGGCCGCACGGATTTGAATGACTTTGATTAGAGCACACAGACTGTGCCCCCTTGGGCTCCTGTTGTTTCTGTGAGCCCAGGTCGGCTTATCAGAGTAGGATGGAGTTTTGTGGAGGCAGTCCCACTCGTCACCTTCCCGCCTTCTGGATCTTTGTGATAGGATATAACAGGCTTGCCTTCTGACTTTCTCCACAGGGGGAAGTTCTAAAAAGGCTGGTGAAGTGGTCTGTGTGCACTGTAGGGATTCCCGCGGAGAGCAGTACTGTGTCTCTGCTACGTGATGAGTTGAGTGGCTGAGACCCTGAGATGGTCAGAGAGAACACCAGAAGGCGTTTGTTTCACCAGTACAAACAGCCTGCACTTCACCCAACCACTGTGACCTCCTGAGAACAGGCTAATATGCCCAAGATAGTCCTGAATGGTGTGACGGTGGATTTCCCTTTCCAGCCTTACCAATGCCAACAGGAGTACATGAGCAAGGTCTTGGAATGTTTGCAGAAGGTAAAGATGCAGACCATGAGGAATTTTCTAGTGATGGGTTGGCGGAAGCAAAGACCTAATGCACTCCTACTCTATATCCATTCCAGCCAGGCTCTGAATTCTATTATAAATTGGTCTTATAGGTGGGAGAGATGACATCAGGTGATCAAAAATATCATTCTGGATGGTGAGGGGTTGGGAGTGCCTTGGAGGACACTCTGAGGAGGTGGCATGTGAGCCAAGGTTGATGGATGTGGAGTGACCATCATTTGGGGGTCTGGAGGAAGTGTTTCTGTGTTGAGAAGCATCATAGAAATTCTTCTTTCCCTTTGGGAATGTCTCTGAACTTCAGGGGCTTGCAGAGAAATGGAGGGGGACAGGTGGCTTTCTACTGGATTTCTTGGAGTGCCCTTTTATACTCTGTTCACTCCCCCACCAAGTTTCCTGCTCAGGCTTCTGTCTGAGAGCTCATATGTAGGACATCGGATACTGTTTAGATAGGACAGGGTAAATGCCTGGATCCAGAATTGCAGAACAATTTCCTATTTTGAGACTTGGCACCTAATTAGTCATCTTACTATTTATATTAGGCTGAAAAATAGTCTCATTTTGGGTAATGCTTTGCAAATTGTTTGCTAATGAGGGCTGAATTAACCTGTGGCTTTTAGGGCTGCAGTGGAAAATGTCATGTGGATTAATCCACCTCCCATGGGGTTTTTGAGAAGATCTGTTGACTGGTTGCTGGGCTTGTCTCAAGGTTAGTTGTGTAGTCTCATGTCTCCCCTGCTTCCCCATGACTCCTGCTGTGGACCTCATTCAGAAAGTGAATGGCATCCTGGAGAGCCCCACAGGCACAGGGAAGACGCTCTGCCTCCTCTGCACCACGCTAGCCTGGCGGGAACATCTCCGGGACACTGTCTCTGCCCGCAAGATTGCTGAGAGAGTACAAGGAGAGCTTTTTCTTGATCAGGCCTTGTCATCCTGGGGGAATGCCGCTGCTGCTGATGGAGACCCCATAGGTGACCCTACTTCTTCTCAGTCTCTCCTGGCCTTGTGTGGGGATGGAAAGGGGTGGATGGAGCTGGGGACAGGGCCATCTACCTTGGCATTTGCCATCTCTGGAGCAGAGTAGATTAAGGAGACTTTTGTAGCCTCCATGTTACTTCTCAATATCATTGATATAAACACAAGATCAGAGCTTTTTCCTGGAACTAGGGCACGATGGGCAGCCACTTCACCTATTTCAGGTGAGTGGCTATCTGGGTGTCAGTTTTGTGCTGTCTGAGGGCTGAGTTAGCACAATGCTGCCTGTGTTAAACACACACAAAAACATTGCCTTAGAGACACCCCTTTTGTGCTTCCTTGTGCCTGGGCAGCTTGCTACACGGATATCCCAAAGATCATCTATGCTTCCAGGACCCACTCGCAGCTCACCCAGGTGATCAACGAGCTCCGGAACACTGCTTACCGGTGGGTCAGCAGGTTCACACCTGCTTCAGTCATTAAGAAAATGTGCTTTGTATGTAGCTGGGTCCTCAGCCCAACTGCATATGTGCAGTTTTGCTGCACGGTGATAAATGATTCACCACACCAGGATGTGTAGTGTTCGGTGTGGAGTGAGAGGGTGAAGGCTGGGCAGGTTGTGATGGCTATTACTTGTGAGACAGCAGCTTTGAGCTTATGGTTGTCTGTGAGCTGGCACCCCGGCTCTTTGCAGGGCTGTTGTGAAGGCAGACAGGACTGGTCCCTCAGGGGAGCTTCTCTTATGAAGAGAGGAGAGTCTGTCCCTTGCTAGAATTCAGCTGAGTCTTGGTATCTCACCCTGGCTTCTATGTGAGGGAGCCTGAACAGTCGATTGCTCTCCCACTGGCAGTGTTTCCTGCCTTACCTCCTGCCCCTATTCCAAGCCTGGGCCACAATCCAGCCACTTTGTTCCCTCTGCCTGTCAAGTTTCCCATGTGCTCCCACATGTTTCCACATGGCTTGTGCTGTTGGACCACAGTATGGTCCATCTGTTTTACTTGGGGGCAGCTCCTCCTTTACCCTTTTGCTCTTCTACCAGGCCCAGGGTATGTGTGCTGGGCTCCCGGGAGCAGCTGTGCATTCACCCAGAGGTGAAGAAGCAGGAGAGTAACCACATGCAGGTGGGTACCTAGGGACCTGCTCCACCCCTACGGTTCTGGGCAGGTGCTGCCTGGGCTTTAGAGGTTCCACCTGTGCTCCAGCTGATGCTGACCTCTGACCCCTAAAGTGGCTGGAGGAGGGATGTGGAGGAGGAGCTAGTGAGGGCTGAGGGATAGGTGGGTCCTTCCTTGGCCATTGCTTCAGTTGTGCAGTCTGTCCTTCCTCTTGCAGATCCACTTGTGCCGCAAGAAGGTGGCAAGTCGTTCCTGTCATTTCTACAACAACGTTGAAGGTAAGAACAGCCCCTAGAAACTACTCCTGGTGATTGACACACATCAGGGTCAGATGAGGCATGTGCAGCCCACTGGGGCTAGTTCAGTGGCATCAGCCTGCTTGCTTTACTCCCTTTGGACAGCCAGTATTGTCATGTGCTTGGCCACTGTCTTCTGATTGAGGAGTCACCTGAATTGTATAAGCTCACACAGTGGCCTGTTGCCTGTCTGGTCCTTGGCCAGTATCTCACAACTTGCATGTGGGGAGGGTTCTCAGCATCTTCTGATAAGAAGGCTCTCTGTACCTAACCTGTTTGTCGAAAAATCACCTGCTTTCCCCTCTGGGAACCTGGGATGCTGGGACCTGGACCTGAGTACTCTGTATTGCCTCTTTGACAGTCTCTTAGATACCAGGTGCCAAGTCTGAGTTTTCCAGTCAACAATATTCCATGTGTGTTATCATAGTTCATAGATGGCCAGTTAAGCACATCTACTTCTTGAGATAACAATATGTAAAACAATAACCATTGATAATTTCCTACCACTTTGTCTGTAATTTGGTAAGCCCCCCCCCCATTATTATGTTATCCTTCTTTTACTCTTTAAAATTTTTTTAAAAAAAAGCACATCTACTTCTCCCTAACTTCACCCCATGCATCTTGTCTCTTTGCTGACTTTGCTGCGGTAAGTCACAGCCCTCTGTGTGACTTACCACACAGTGTGGCTCTGCTAAGTCTGAGTTAGCCTAGACAGGGCATAGCCTCAGAGATGACTTAACCCAGAGATGAAATGAGTAAGCTCATGGTTAACGACAAGTAGCACTAGTGACTGCACATGCCCATAGCCTATGAAAAGCGCAGGGCAGGAGGCTGACACCAGTGCCCTTTTTCCAGGTCACTGCCTTCTCACCCATGGGACTGCACCCCACTTCCATCAAGGGCTTCTAGGGCTTGTCACAGGCGCCCAGCAACAGTGGCAGGGTGAGCTCAGCCTCTCATGTAGCCTCACAGCCTCCTGTAACTTGAGAGGTGGGGCATCTCCAGTGCTGGCTGTGTGGCTGGGGATTCAGGCTTCTGGGGATTAAGGTTCCTGCCCCAGGGTTGGGACTGAGACCCTAATGTGGTGTGCAGGGGCTCAGGTGATTCAGCCCTAGGTCATGTATGAGGTATTGGTGGTCTGCTGTCAGCTGTGATGTTCACTAAATGCCTGTTGCACCAGAGCTGAGGCCCCTGGAGCTGCCAGTAGTGGTCAGGACAGAGGCCAGAGCTGGGAGTCCTTAACTCAGCACCCAGTGTGCCACTTTTCTGCCCCTTGGAGAGAGAAGATGGAACATGGCCCTGCAGCAGGGACCCCAGCTCCCTGGCAGCATGTTCTTTGTTGCCTTCCTTGTGTTTTGGTCTGCTGGTGCCAAGGACCCTCAGTCACATCAGCATGTGATTGTCCAGCCCTGCTGGGTGCTCCTAAGAAGCTGGACACCTGTACTATGCCCCCAGGGGCCCGGAAGCCACCCCCTCTGGCTTCAGTGACCTGGATGTTGCCGGTCTGATCTGGCTTGCCAGATGTGCTGTTAGGAAACTCCTATAGTTATCATTTCTTGTCCTTGTTGGCTTCCCTGGAAGGAGGGAAGACCTGCTGCATGTGCCCAGGCCCAAAAAAGTAGGAGTATTTGAGCTGTAGGAGTGTGTGCACAGGGAATACTGAGCATGATCCTGTGGCCTAAATGGGGACAGTCCTGTGGCCACTTTTCCTGGGCCCTGATGGGAGACTGCTAACGCCCTGTGTGGTTCCATCCATTGTGTCTGGTCCATGGGTGTCATGTGGCCTGGAAGGTTTTTCCCCTTACTTTGTCCATCCCTTTGTTTGGAATCCTCCCACCTGGGTCCTTCTGCCTGGCCCATGACACCACACCTGTACTTGTTTGATACGGTTATCCCCTCTGCCCACCCTGTCTGCCTCTGTCGTCTCAGCTCTGGCACAGGAGGTGGCTCAGGTGCCCTGCTTGCATTGTGCCAGTGTAGTCCTGATGGGAATGGTCCCAGCCAGCTTCCACCTGTGAGCCTGGCACTGTGCCAGTGCTCATCTGCACTGTCCTTTACTTGAGAGTCTTTAGGGCTGACGGGACTTTTGGCTCACAGTGGTGGAACCTCTTTATAGCAGGTGGGATCTACTGCCTGCCGGACCCTAGGCAGTAGATTCCATCTCATGGTCCTAGGTTTCTCATGGCAGAGAGGAGGAGCTGTCTAGTTGGTCTCATAGATCTGGGCTTTGTCTGACCTCAGACCTAAGAGCTGCAGATCAATCCTGCCATGGCTTTGGCTTGTCACTGCTCATCCTGGAGGAAGGCTGCCTAGCTGTGAGCCTTAACCTCTTTGCTGTGCCTGCTGTGGCCTGCTGTGGGCTGTGAGGTTAAGTCTCCAGCAGCTGCCAAGTCTTGACTGTCTTTGGAGTGGGCTGCAGCCCCAGGAGGGGTTTGAGAGGTAGAGGTGGCTTGTCTTGAAAATGAGAGAGGAGACAGTGGAGAACTGGAATGCTGTCTTGAAAGGGGAACAGAAGCACTGGGCTGCTGCCTCCACCCAGGGGTTACCTTGGGACAGGGGTCTGGGGCAACCCTGCTCGTCCCTCTCTTTATATGTCACCTCTCTTCCTGATCCCTTCTCTGTGTTGCCTCCATTGCTCAGCTCCCTGCCCAGGAATTATGGCAAGCTGCTGCAGTGTATGCTGATTGGCTGCTCTGTTGCTATGGCACTGCTAAGGGATGTGCTCCTACTTCCCTGCCTGATGTGCTATCCCTGGGGGCATTTCAGGGGGGTCACTGATGTGTGTGTGTGTGTGTGTGTGTGTGTGTGTGTGTGTGTTGGTCTCTGCAGCTAAGGGCCGGGCCTCAGTTCTGCCCCTGAGAGGGCCTGGCTGTTGCTGGGATGGGCATGAAACAGAGGTGCAGGAGCTGGAGGGTGGGGGTGATTTCTGCCCTCAGACAGTGCTGGTTCTGCCCACAAGAGTATGAAGCCCAGGGGTTGCTGCATTTGCTCCCCAAAGGATTCTATGACTGGTTTGGCCCCTGGTCCCTGTGCTATGGCAGCATAGCCTCTAGATTCCTTTCTGCCTTGGTCCTTGTAGTTAGCGTGGTAGTACCCATTTGCAGGCTGCTGTCCTGAGGAAAAGGGTGTCCATAGCTTAGGTGGTGTGGAGCAGAGCAGCCCCCATCCTGGGCAGGCAGGGTGGGCTCAGCCTGGAGTGGCCCTGCCCTTTCCCCTGACTATCTGTGCCCTGCCTTGGCCCCTGCTTTGGCAGCTCCCCTGGCAGGCATGACTTTCTTCCAGGTGGGTCTGTTTGTATTGGTGGAAAGCTAGGGGAGTGGTGCTGCTTGCAGGGCACACTCTTCCTGGGTCTCAGTGACAAGGTTCAGGCTGTTTCTACCCCTTTCTCCAGGAGGCTGGGGATTGTAGCCACTCTTGTCCTGACTTGGGGTGTCCAAGAACAGAGAGGATGCCTGCAGACTTTGGGATGGTGCTGATGTCTATCTGTGGTGTTGATGCTTTGCTTCAGACTGGTTCTGTGTACTGTAGTGCAGAGCAGGCTCCCTCAAGGTCACTTTGGGTGGGGGCTCCCTTGGGAACATGACCTACCAGACAGGGGTTCTCTCGCGCATCTGCAGGTGGTAGACGCCACTCTGCCTGCTGCACAGGAGCCCCTCTGTCCTGGGCGTCTGAGGACACTTAAGTGCTTTAGTCGGACCTAAGGGTGTGTCTGCTCGTGTCATCTGCAGAGAACAGCCTGGAGCAGGAGCTGGCTACCCCCATAGTGGACATCGAGGACCTGGTCAAGAAGGGGAGCAAGCACAAGTGAGACCCCTGCCACAGCCGTGGCTACCGTGTCTTTCCACATTGGACTGTAATGATAAGGGAGACGTGGATATGTTTCTTTTCACAGAACTAACAATTAGTGTGAAAATTGAAGTAGTTCTGAGGAATATGACGTGAAAAAATGCAACCGTCTCCTTCCTGCACCTCTCAGCCTAATGCTAAGTGAACAGTGAGCAGTGTCTGTATTTTTTTTTTTTTTTTTTAAATTTTTTGAGACAACTTGCCTGGCAAACCTGAGGTCATGAGTTTGATCTCTGGTATAAAAAAAAATCATAATTTTTTTGAGACAAGGTCTCACTATGTAGTTCAGGCTTCTCTCGAACTTGCAGTGATCCTCCTGCCTTAGCCTCCCAAGTGCTGGGATTACAGGCATGTGCTACCATGCCTGGATGTCTCTGGGTGTAGAAGTACACACGTGGTCTTATTTGGACTTATTTTTTCCTTTTTTTTTTTTTTTTTTAAAAAAAAACAGGGTCTTGCTGTGTAGTCCAGGCTGGTCTTAAATGCACTGTGTAGTCCAGGCTGGCCTCAAACTTGTGGCGATCCTCCTGCCATAGCCTCCCAGTTGTTGGAATTATAGGCATGCATCACTACACTTGGCTTTCTCTTTTTCTGTGGTACTGGGGGTTGAACCAAGGGCTTTATCACTAAGCTATATTCCTTAGCCTTTTTTTAGTTTGAGACAAGGTCTGCTGAGTCACTAAGTTGCCCAGCTGGACTTGAACTTGCACTCTTCCTGCCTTGGCCTCCCAAAGTACTGGGATTACTGGCATGACCCATTACACTCAGTTCCATTTCCTCTTTTTTTTTTTTGAGAGAGAGAGGGTCTCACTGTGTAGTTCAGGCTGGCCTTAAACTCCCTGTGTACTCCAGGATGGCCTCAAACTTGTGGCAGTCCTCCTGCCTCAGCCTCCTGAGTGCTGAGATTACAGGTGTGCTTCACCACACCCAGTTTCTTCTTTCTCCGTTATATACATTGGGTGGCTTTCCATGTAGTTACTTAAAGCTTGGCCTCATTCCTTTTGAGGACAGTAGATCTTCCTGTTTCCTTAGAGCTTTGTGGATTCAAGTCATAACACAGACTTTTAGGCCTGGTATGTAGATCAGTGGTGGAGTACCTGCCTAGTGTGCACAAGGCCCTAGAGTCAGTCCATCCTCAGCACTCTGAAGAGAGAAAGGGAGGGAGGGAAGAAAGAAGTTAGCCCGGTTGGCTTACGTAAATGGGGAAAAGTTCCATTTTTAAAATTTTTTTTTTTATTTTTTATTTTTTTTGGTTTTGGTTTTTTTCCGGTACCGGGAACCAAACTCACGACCTTGCACTTGCTAGGCAGGTGTTGTGCCCTTGAGCTAAATCCCCAGCCCCAAAAGTTCCTTTTTTTTTTTTTTTTTTTTTGGTTTTTCTCCAGTACCGGGAACTGAACTCACGAAAAAGTGAGGCACTTTTGTGAAGGGGAGCAAGGCAGGCACTTTTGCGGCTGAGCTAAATCCCCGGCCCCAATTCCATTTTTTAAAGTACTTTTATGCTCTGTGTTTCTGATGACCTCTGTCTAAGAATAGGGTTAGAGTTTTGTTCTGTTCTATTTTTGTACAGTTTTAAAATTGATGACAGCCGAGCGTGGTGGTGCATACCTGTAATCCCAGCACTTGGGAAGCTGAGGCAGGAGGATCATTTTGAGTTTGAGACCGGTGTGGGCTACAAAGTGAGTTCAAGGCCAGCCTGAACTGCATAGCAAGACCCTGGCTCAAAAAGACCAAAAAAAAAAAAAAAAAAAAGGATGATACACTCACAGAGTCAAAAACTCGTATGGGTTCCCCACCCATCCAGACACCAGTGCCCCTCTAAGGCTCTGTGCACAGGACCAGGGCTCCTTGCCAGTCAGAAGATGTGGGGCTCCTGTCATGGCTGTGCTTCCCGCGTGTCTCCAGCTGGGCATTTACAGGGTCTTGTCTTTCTTTGCTCCCAGAGTGTGCCCTTACTACCTTGCTCGGAACCTGAAGCAGCAAGCTGACCTCATCTTTATGCCGTACAATTACTTGTTGGATGCCAAGGTGAGGATTGAGCTGTGTATCTGATGACTCCTGATGTTGAGGGGCATCCAGACCATTGCTGGTTCAGGCCCTCAGAGCAGCAGGTGTGGGTGGAGTTCCCTTGGCCAGAAGCAGTGGTGAACAGCCCACAGCTACAAGCCAGTCATCCTGGGCATCCGGGGAGTAGACAGGCTGGCAGGAGTGAGGAGAACCTAGGCTCGGGTCTCAGGCCAATGCCAGACCTTGGTTCTGACAACTCAGCCCAGCCTCTCTCAAATTGGGTGTTTGGAGGTATAGATGGTTCAGAAAACCTGAGTATTTTCCTATGTATTCCTAAGTATTCCTCATTCCTGTCTTTGTAGCATGTGTTCATCTTCTCATGACCCACCCCTTTTATTTAACACAGGTAGGATCATGCTCCATGAGCTCAGTGACTTGTACTTTCACTTACAACAACCCTGTGGGTGTCCTCTGATCTGGATCCCTTTGTGGATTCATTCATTCCCATGTGGGTATTCCTTGAGAACTCACCATTCTGGGCGCTATCCTAGGGGCAGAGGTGAATAAAACTAGCATGGCTCCTATAGAGCTTGGGTTCTAGTGGAGGAGATCGCAGAGGAGTCAGCGCGGGACTAATGCTGCCTATTGAAGGGCTGAGTAAGAATGAACAGGAAGGAGGCCCCCATGGGTGCAGCAGAGTGAGCAGAGGGCAGCGGGCTGGGAGGTGACTGCAGAGCCTTGTGGGAGGGGCCGTTCCTGTGGAGAGCAGTGGTCAGGCTGAGGGCATGGAGGGTTGGTGAAGTTTGCTACCGCCGTGGGTGACTTTCATTACTTGGTGCTTTCAACCCCAGCTGCCCGTGGGAACCTCCTAGATAGCTGCTAAAAACATGGGACCGGGGCCCCACGTCATTGCCAATAAGCCGATTTCAATATTTGCATGGGAATGGAAAGACCTGGAAGAGCAAAACAGTTTTGCGGAGCAGGCCTGGAATTTGCCTGGAGCAGCTAGCGTGTGTTTGGAGACACAGATTAGTGGAGCAATTAAGCAAGTCCAAGAGACCGTTCTGCAGGCAGTACCTGGTTTTTGACATACACACCAAGTAAATTCAGCAGGGAAAGGAATTATATATATATTTTTAAATTATGATGGAATATCCATTTGAAAGAATGAATCTTAGCCCTTTGTACTCTGCAGACCTAAATGCAAAATTTTTCGAAGCAAAGGGGAGAGGCAGTCTTTGCAGCTTTGGGATAAGTTTTAATTTCTTTTTTTTTTTTTTCTTTTTTCTTTTTTTTTTTTGAGACAGGGTCTCGCTATGGAGTTCAGACTGGCCTTGAGTTCATTTTGTACCTGAGGCTGGTCTCGAACTCTCAACAATCCTCCTGCCTCAGCCTCCTGAGTGCTGGGATTACAGGCGTGCACCACCACGCCCTAAGTTTTACTTTCTTAACTCAGACACCCAAGGATCATAATGAAAAAAATTTAAAAATTGGGCCAGGTGTTTTATTATATACCTGTTGTTCCAGCTATTCAGGAGGCTGAGACAGGAGGATCACAAGTTTGAGGCCAACCTGGGCAATTCAGCAAGACCTTGTCTCAAAATAGAAAGGGCTGAGGATGTATCTCACTTAGAGATAGAGCGCTTAATTAGCATGTGTCAGGCCCTGGGTTCAATCCCCAATATCACATACACACACAGAAAAAGTATTGAGGAACCTCATTAGGAAGCCTCATCGTGGCTCATGGGTGTGTAGCTGGTACAGCAGCTCTGTGTATACGGTGTGCCAGGCAGCCCCACTGCAGGTAATGGAGACCTGTACCCAGAGACTTCTCAGACCTGCAGTTGCCAGAAGCAGGAAGCAGGTCCTGGGGGGTCCACACACACAGCCGTAGTGAGGAGTGCGTGGCTGGTCACAGCTGCGAGGAGCAGATGAGTCTCGCACGTGCTCCCCCAGGAAGCCCGCTGTTAACGTGGTGTTCTAGCGAAGGTAGTGGAGAGTTGGTGGCTACACGGCACACACATCTGTCAAAACCCAGCTGTACTTATATGGGCAGTTTGTATGAAAATTAAACTCAGATTAAGTTAATTAAGAAAAATACCAATGCTGGACCCCTCCCCAGGTTGTTTACATTAGGCTCTGGGAGAAGGATCTGGACATTGGAATTTAACGCTCCCTAAGTGTATATCAGGTGGGTACATAGGGATGTGAACTTCCATGACTGCTTAGCTGCTGCAGCCAGGGCCTTGTGCTTCCTTGGCCATTCTTTTGGTCATAGCACCTGCTCTTCCTGCTGTATGTGAACCCCTCCCAAGGCCAGATGCTTAGCAAGTGTGCAGCTACCAGTGAGCCTTGGGTAGGTGTTGGCTAAGTTGCTGTTCAGAATTAGCCTTGAGCATTTGCTGCTTCTGAGAGTCAGGGATGAGGCCCTTCCCCTCTGCGCCAGCAGTTTGTATGGTCTGTGCTCATGGTGTTTGTTGCCTGTCACAGGCCTCAGCTTCCCTCTTTCCCTGCCCTGCTTGGCTTCAGCCCGTTCTCTCTTCACTTCTTCCTTGTAGAGTCGCAAGGCACACAACATTGACCTGAAGGGAGCTGTTGTGATTTTTGATGAAGCTCACAACGTGGTGAGTCTGGTTGCCTCTGGTTGCCTGGTGCTAAGGGCCTACTATTTTCCCTGGATCCCTAAGCCTTTTTAGAGGGACTCTAGACCTTAGGGGATCAGCTGCTAGGATCCAGCAGACCCAGACACTCCTCTGCCTTGCCTCTTACAGTCAGATGCCTCCACCAGGGCTAACTGGGCCTTGGATGTACCTTCAGCACAGAGTCCAAATGTAGGCCCCTATCAAATCCCTGCCTTGGTTGGCTAGTGGTGACAGCCTGGCCCTGTAGTTGCTTGCACTGCACTCTGTCATCCTTCCTGCATTGTCTGACCCTTGGGCCTTTTGGCCCGATACTTGGAAGGCTGCTGTGGAGAGAGCTACCCACCACTGGTGGCTATGGCAGCAGATGTGGCCCCTGCAGACCCTCCTGGCTCCTTCATCCTTTGTTCCCAGCACACTTCTACACTGACCTTATCCCCGCCTCTGAGCGGTAGGTTAGGGCTGTGTGTTTCCATGAATGGCTGTGTAGGAAGGCCACACGGGATAGCAAGGCCAGCTGTTCTGGAGTCTGGGATGAGGCTTCATGAGAGTTGGGGCTCCCCATGGCAGAGCCTGGTGCCCTGGGCTACAATGACCACTGTCGACCTCTACTTGCAGTGAGAGGTTCAGTGTGTCAGGCCTTCTGGCTTTTGAAATAGAGATTTTAATGGGAAATTTCCCAGTTACAGGCTGTTGGCAATAAAAGTAAAATAATGGTTTAAAAACATTGATGTGGGGGCTGGGGATTTAGCTCAGCGGCACAGCCCCTGCCTGGCAAGCGCAAGGTCGTGAGTTCGGTTCCCGGTACCAGAAAAAAAAAAACATTGATGTGGGAGTTGGGGAGATAGCTCAGCGGCACAAGTGCCTGCCTGGCAAGTGCAAGGTCTTGAGTTCGATACCCGGTACCAAAAAAAAAAAAAAATTTAAAAAGAAAATAAATAAAAACAGGTAATCATGACTATAGAGGAAAAAAAAGCAGCCTGTTGCTAGACACAGGTGCAAGTCTCTCGGTCCTTCTTTTCAATCCTGGCCTTCCTTCTAGCCGTCACACCTCAGTGAAAGGAGTCACTGGTGGGGAGGTAATCCGCTATTTTTCACAACCCTTAGGCTGTAACTGCTTGTTAGATCTTTCTTGCGTATCTCTGTCTTCCTGAGAAACCACTTTGAAGATACCACCATATATTACAGCAGCCATTGATATTTTCCTACTGATCTGTCCATAACTCTGTAATGTTTGTATTGTTCCTATGCTATTTTGTAAATGGATGTGTGTTTATTTTTTGTTTATTTTTTTTTGGATATATGTTTATTACTATGTGTTTCCTACAACAACCATTGAGAATAGTCAATGAATATTCATTTGGTCACTCATGTATAGCTCTATTTCTTTTCTTTTCTTTTTTTTTTCTGGTACCAGGGATTGAACTCACAACCTTGCACTTGCTGGACAGGTGCTGTGCCACTGAGCCCCTCTATTTATTTTCTTTAGAAACCATTTTGAAAATAACAAAGTATAGTACAACAACCATTGATAATAACCTACCACTTTTGTCTGTAGCTCACTATTATTTGTCTATTTGTTTTCCTGAGAAGCTATCTTGTACATAACAATATATAAAACAACAACCATTGATAATTTCCTACCACTTTGTCTGTAATTTGGTAAGGCCCCCTATTACTATTATCCTTCTTTTACTCTTTAAAATTTTTAATAAATAAATAAGTAAATAAAAACATTGATGTGGGCCAGTCAAAGCCTGTGAGGTGGCCTTAGTGTCAGGAGCCGGGCTCTGTGGACTTTCCTGTCAGCTTCCAGCACCTTCTGTATGTGTACTTCTTCCTGGATACCTGGTCCTGTCCTGCTCTACCATGACAAGGGTGTGCTTGGGCCCTCAGGAGAAGATGTGTGAGGAGTCGGCCTCCTTTGACTTGACACCCCATGATGTGGCTTCAGGACTGGATGCTGTCGACCAAGTTCTGGGGGAACAGACCAGAGTGGCACAGCAGAGTGAGCTCCAGCTGGAGTTCAGCATGGATCCCACCACCTCAGGTGCGTTGCAGCCAAGAGCCAAAGGATGAGCTGAGAGGTGGAGTCTGATCCTCCCAGAGGCCAGAGCTGCTAGAGGTTATGGTCATGTGTGGTGGTGCACCTGGTCTCCTAGCACCTTCCAGCCAAGTGGCATTATAGGGTATCAGCCTGCTGAGAATGGACCGGGGAGGCTTGCATTGTCCCATAGTTTCAGCAGTTTCTTTATGTCCTTTCCAGGCTAGCACTGACTTGCCCTCTGCTGTGTAAAACTGAAAAACCAAGCATTTTCACTCTGAAGGTGCTTTTTAGTGACTGGTGCCACATGTCACTTGCCATTTCCAGCTCCCTTTCCAGGTGTTGTGGAGAGGTTGTTTCTATAATAGTGACCCCAGGACACAGAGTAATCATTCCTGTGTGTGGGTACGTGTCCATATTTGCACAGGCCTCTGCCAGTAGTGGACTAGGAGTCCGTGTTTGCCAAAGGTGTTAGCAGGCAGGACGCTCATGTCTGTACACAGTGCTACGTGAATGTCTTTGAGAGGGCTGCTGCGTCACTTACTGGATGTGGGGTGGGTGTCTTAGTCACTTTCTCATTGGTGAGATAATACCCACACTCACAGTGTAGAGGAGGAGAGGTTTCAGTCCATAGCTGGCTGGCCCCAGGGCAGGGCAGCATGGTAGTGGGATATCACAGAGGAGAAACTGCTCTGTGGCCTGGCAGGGGGAAGCAGAGCGGGAACCAGGGAGGCAGGAGACACACCCTTCCAGGCCCCGCCCCAATGGCCTGCTTCCTCCAGCCAGGCTCCACCTCCCAGCATCACATGTGGCTGTACACTGACCAGTGGATTCACCCACACTGATGAGAACCTGCCCGTGACCCACTCACCTCCCCAAGCCCTGCCTGAGAGTATCTGAGGCTTTGGGCGCATCCAGGTGGAAACCATGGCTGTGAGCAGCACAGCCTCAGCTTCCCTCCCTGTCCTCTAAAGTCACTGTGGAGGCTGTCATGGGGAGCAGAGGCCCAGGTAGCCCCATCTGTGCTCTTCTCACTAACATCTGCCTCTGCCCTTTTGGCTTGGAACCCCAGGCCTCCTTTGATGTGTTCATGCGCCTGTACTGATAGACAGAGGGTTTGTTTGGCGCAGAAATTTTGGCTTCAGTGTCCCTTTGACATTCTATTTTTTTTGAGACAGGGTCTCACTATATAGTTCAGGCTGGCCTTGAACTAAGCAGTCCTCCTGCCTCAGCCTCCCAAGGGCGGGATTACAAGCATATGCCACCATATGAATCCTGGCTTGACCTTCTTAAAAATGATTAAACTTTTTTTGTATGAATTACATCTATTTACAATTACTGTATTAGAATTGAAACTTGGAAATTAAAAATTTTATCTTCATTTCTTTAAAGGACAAACTCTTAAATATTAGCTTAGTTTCCCAGGGCTGCTGTTACAAAGAAAGTATCACAAATTAGAACTATAGAACAGAAGCCCCAGATGCAAAGGTCAGCAGGTTTGGCTCCTCCGGAGATCCTGAGGGAGAATCCGCCTCACTCAGCTCTGGCAGCTGCCGGCAGTCCTGAGCTTGTGGCTGCCTTGGCGCAGTCTCCACTGCCCTCTGAACACGGTCTTCTGCCGTGCCTGAGCCCACGCGTCCCTTTGTCATAAGGACCTCAGTCACTGGACTTAGGGATGGCCCGGTGCACTATGACTGCATCATCGTCGGGTCACACCTGCCGAGTCCTTTTGCCACATAAAGAGTGTAGTCATAAGCTCTGGGGATTAGAGCCTGGTGGCTTTGGAGGCCAGGATTCTGTCTGCCACAGCTCTGGAAGATTATCATACACTCTAAGATTATGCAAATGTGGTCCTGCCAAAATATCTTGTACCTTAGGTCTTAGAAACCTTAGCATGTAATTCTTTTCCTTTTCTTACTAACTTCTCACTTAAAGGAGGCACCTTACAGCTTATCCTGGGCTTGTCTGAATTACCAGCCTCACTGCCCGTGCTCTGGGGGCCACTGTGAAGTTCAGTAAGGTCGTTCAAGTGCAAGCACTGGTGCGGCAGCCGTCGTCTGATCGCTGAGAGGGCTGAGCGGGCCGAGCAGTGCTGGCACATAGCACGTGCAGCGTGGGTCACAGAGTGAGGCGCAGTTTGTGTTCCAGGCTGGATGGAGGAGGACGGCACAACGTTTTATCCATTCAGAATGGCATAAAATGCCAACCTTAGAAACTGAGTTTCTGAAATTTTCCATTTAATAACTTTGGACTGTCATTGACCTTGGACAGCTGTGAATGTACAGATAAGCAGGGACTGCTGTAGTTTCACAAAGCTGGCCAGCCTGCCTGCTTGCTTGCCCTCTCTCGCCGCCCTTCCCTCCCTCCCATGCTCCCTCCCTCTTTCTCTGTTTTCTCCCCTCTCCTGCCTTCTGCTGTGTTCCCCTCTCCACTTCCTTTCTTTCCCTGCCTCGCTTTCTTTTCTTTCCTCTTCTCTTCTTTTTTTCTTTCTTCTCTTCTTTTTTTTGAGAAAGGGTCTTGCTATGTAGCCTGGGCTGGCCTTGAGCTCACAGCGACTCTCCTGCTTCAGCCTGCTGAGTGTTGAGGTCACAGGCATACACCACTTGGCTTGGGAAAGCTTTCTTGCTTTATGTTTTTCAGTACTTGTTTTGCTTTTTTGTTGTTGTTGTTTTTCCTCACATTCTTTTTTTTTTTGGTTTTTTCTCCGGTACCGGGAACTGAACTCACGACCTTGCGCTTGCCAGGCAGGCGCTTTTGCCGCTGAGCTAAATCCCCAGCCCGTGTTGTTGTTGTTTTTCAATCAGATTTTACTGGTACATTTTAGATACACCTAATGATCACATTCATCGTAGAGAATTTGTACCTGCACATGATGTATCTTGACTGTTTTTTCCCCATTCCCCTCCCTTCAACCCCTTCTCCCCTCTCCATTTACAAAAGCTTATGTCCTGCTTTATTTTTCTTCTTTAGGGTCTGTGTTATATCTCTACTTAAGTAAAGTTTGTTACTCTCTAATCCTTTTTATCTATTTTTCTTTGATTTTTTTTTTCTTTCTTTCTGGTACCGGGAGTTTAACTCAGGGCCTTTGCACAGAGTTGCATCCTCAGCCCTTTTTTATTTTTTAAAATTTTGAGACAGGGTCTGACTAAATTGCTAAATTGCCCAGATTGGGATTGAACTTTGATCCTCTTGCCTCAGCCTTCCAAAGTTCTAGAATTGTAGGTCGGCATGTACCACATGTTCAGGTTCTGTTCGTGAGGCCTCCAACTCCTGGACTCAAGTGATCTTCCTGCCTCAGCCTTCTAAGTAGCTGGGACTATAGTTGTGTACCACTGCACTGGCTATTTTGAAAGAATTTCAAACTTACAGGTAATGTATGATCTAAAGAACTCCTTTTCATTCTTCACCCAAGTTCCCTCTCGTTAGCATATTAAGAATTTTATTAAAAATACTTGCTAACATTTACCTAACATTTGTCCCTCTCTGTATATATGGATAATTTTTTTGGAATCTTTCAGAGCAAGTTGCAGGTGTATGACCTTTTAATCTATATATTAGTGCATGTTTCCTAAGAACAAGGACATTCTTACTCATAGTTGCAGTACGGTGAGCAAATTTGGAAGCTAACATCAATACTACAGATGGTCTGTTTATGATGGTCTGACTTAGGATTTCTTAGCTTCGCCATGGTTCAAAGAGTATATGCAGGGCTGGGGATATAGCTCAGTGGCATAAGTGCCTGCCTGGCAAGCGCAAGGTCGTGAGTTCGATCCCCGGTACCGCAAAAATAAAAAAAAAAAAAAAAAAAAAAAAGTTTCTAAAAGAGTATATGCAGTTCACTAGAAATCATACTTTGAATTCTGAAGTTTTGTCTGTTCCCAGGCTAGCACTGTGCAGTCTGATATACCAGTGCTGGGCAGCACTGTGGGTAGGGTATGTGTTCTAGCACCCTGCAGTGCACTGTGTTGCTAAGCTATGATGCTCAAGAGGTCAGGTGTGCGTGTTCAAGGCATGTGTGTATGTCCTACGTGGGGTTCACCCCAGGGTATTTACACTGACCTATATCCCCACCCTTTCTATTTTATTTGTTTTGAGACAGACTTGCTAAACTGCTAATTTCCCTGGATTGGGTTCAGATCCTCCTGGCTTAGCCTCCTAGAATAAGGGTATTATAGATTTGTGTCATGATGCCTGGTTTCTTTTGTTTTGGTGGTTGTAATGGTACTGGGAACAGAGCCTAGGGCCTCATGCATGCTGAGCAGTGGCTCTGCCACTGAGCTATATCCCCATCCCTTAAGGACGTTTCAGCAATCTTTTATCTTGCAGTGGGTTTATGGGAATGCAACCCATCAGAGCCAGACGAGCATCTGTGTGTGAACAGATCTCAGCGGGTTTCCAGCTGAGCCAGGCGTGGTGGCACGTGGCTGTAACTCTCGCACCTGGGAGCTTGAAGCAGGGAGAGTACCAGGAGTCTCAGACCAGCCTGGGCCACCTAGTGAGTTCAAGGCCAGCCTGGATTATAGAGACACCCTGTATCACAAAACCAAAAAAGAAAAAGGTTTCTACCTGTTTCTTTACCCACAAACGTGACGAAACATAGCACCCTGTCTGAAAACTGATCTGCTGCTGGCTCTTAGGACTTTCCTTGGGCACATTGCCTCACGGTTGTCTTCCATGGCCATGACATTTTGGTTTTGTTTGTTTGTTTTTCCAGTACCGGGAATTGAAGTCACGATGTCACACTTGCCAGGCAGGTGCTGTGCCGCTGAGCTAAATCCCCAGCCCCAGCCATGACATTTTGAAAGGCTGGTTATTTTGTCAGTGGTCCTGCAGTTCGTCTTTATGTGATGTTTTCTTGTAGCCGGACTTGAGTTCGGTGTTTTTACCCAGAAGTGAGGCATAGGCTGTGTGTCACGCCAGGAGGTGCAGCATGTCTGCGCGATGTACTCTTGGGGTATCACCTCCATCACTTGGTTCACACAGACCTGCCGGGCTTCTCCACTGTG